TGTTGAATCAGAATCTAAATGCAGGATAGTTTGCAGTAAAAGATATAAAATAAGAGATGCTGCACAAGTACAAATGGGATTAGCATCATTAACATCTATAGCATTTGCTTTGCTCTCCATTTCTCAATTTAGCATTTTAGCATTTTGCTGTCTCCTACTGATGAAGCAGGACAATACCAAGTTTGTGCCAGATGAAAGCAAGGTTCAGCCTAAAATAAGGGAGAGATCCTGGCCTCTCCCAAAGGATCATTCACATTTTTGGAGGCTACCCAAGATGTCTTGCTATCCAGATTTTCACTGTTTTTGTTGTCCTTTTGCCTTTTTATTTTTAGTGAACCACTTTGCACCTTCCTACTTAGCCATTATTAGAAGTACAATATATTCCCACTGTGTGACCCCAAATACAGATGGTAAATACAGGGTTTCTATTAAGTTGGACAGCAGGCCTATGCCAGCTTTCTCTATAAATGAAGCAAGAAACAGGCTTGAGTGGGTGGACTGGGATTTTGAGTACTTGAGTGAATTTCAGAGGGAGGCTCTCCTGTTAAATCCTGGCTTAAATATCAAATACTTACATCCTGGCCTTCGTTTATTCTCTGGAAGGCCCATGTGAACGTGAAAGAAGCATTTTTGGAGATAATGTGAGTGTAGGACTGTTTCTCTTTACTTCTTTCCCAGGATTCCACCACATTAGTGTTTTTTCTATTAACATCCTACAAAAATCCATAATAAAATAGAAACAATATTAATGAAGGAGGTTTGAAATATAAGAATATTTTATAATAATAGTTGATGCTTAATGTATTGAGAAGGCCTTTTATTTGTATATGGTGCTTAGCAATGGACAATAAATACATTTGTCTCTATTTCTCCACAACTGGCAATTTTTAAGTAAAGAATGGGAGCTTTTCTGAAGCAAATGCTCTAGTTCAAACAAAAACGAATTGAGGAAAGTCCTGTGACTTATGTTATACAGGAGTCAGACTAGGTCGATCCACATGGTCCCTTCTGACTTGAAAACTGAAGAAAATAGATGGGGTAAATCCAGGCAGAGTGAGAGTAATGCCAGTTTTTCAGAAAGTAGATGCTAATTTTGAGCGCCTCCATTTGAGGGACATTCTACTTCTTGATGTCTCATGTCAAAGCAATGAGATGAGCAGGGGGTTCAGCAAAGGGCTTAGTGATCGCCTGACAGTCTAGTATGGGTAAGAAGAGTTTTTCCTTTCCTGTGCCCTTTACCCTGAACATGACATCATTAGAAGGTGAAATTCTGATCCTAGTGCAGTCAACTGGAGTTTTATCAGGTCAAGTCAAAAAGGACAGAATGCGGTCCTTTTTTCCATCAACTTACTGATTGTTTTCTGTTCTTCAAAGAAGAATGAGATCATACCACAAATGATGGAGAAAACTTGCTAGATCATCAATTAAATCCACCTACAAGGGCACTGCAGATACTAAACTAATGCCACACTTAATCTTCATCATCGTAAACCTAGTGCAGCTAATCGCCTCTATGTACAGATATTAAAGTGACATGTGGAATGCCAAGCTCACTCGTCTGTCATGGAGTAAAAGGTCTCACTTACCACCATAAAGTACAGCACGCAATCTGCTGAACAGATGGTCTCAAAAATAAATGTAATCCGTCCTAGTTCCGACCCAGTTGCTCCAGTCACTGACGTTGGAGGTCTGTTTAACAGGGAGGAACTGAAATATTTACAAAGTTCTCTACAAACACTTAGCAGTCAGTCAAACTATTTCTTTTTCAAATGCCTGGAGAATTTAAAATTCATTCACACAAAGTCTGCCCCGAACAGAAGGCCTGGTCCATCAATCCTTGCAGCACTGCGGGTTGGCTACAATGACATTTTTGATTAGGAGTATGATTTCATTAGTGATACTGCTATATCACTGCAGTCAGTAGGGTGAATACAATTATGCTGGTGTACAAGTGTCTTATTCTTGTACAGCTTATTTTCTTTCCCAGATGGGAACAGCTAAATTAGTTAGGCAGCATATTTATGCCACCATAATTGTGTCTGCACTGGAGGAAGGGGACGGACCACTTTAATTATACTGGTTTAGCTCAAGTGGCATAATTTTTGTATCCAAACAAACCTGCAAATACTATAACCGTAAATGCTGGAGGCTGCAACTGGGAGAGGACCGATGGAAAAAACATTAGTCATACCAGACATTTTTACATATGCATGCGTCACAGCACTGGGCACTTTGAAAAGCGCCCGGCACTGTGACACTTGCGGTTATATAGGCAGTGAAATGCACATCAGTGCTGAGAAAATGGCAGCAAAGCGCTTTTGAACTAAAACACCTCAGAGATGCTTTAGTTCAAAAGCACACTGCTGCCATTTTCTGCATGTTGACATGCATTTCGCTGCTTATACAACTGCACGCAGTGCAGTGTAGTTTGCCTCAGCTTGCATTCGGAGCAGACTCAATTAATCAAGTCTGCTCTGAAGCAGTGGATCTCCGGTGTGTTGCAGGAAAAAAAGTATGTGTATAATGCCCAACTAGTTCACCCACCCTTTCAGCATCCGCTCTCTGCCACTGTGACACAGGATATGGAACAAGATGGCCCTATGATCTGACCTAGTAAATGGCAGTTCTTATGATACCAGGCTGTATTTGCAACTCGACTTTGACCTAACCACGGTGCTAAAATAAAGACATAGAATTTAGTGACACCTAAAATTATCCCAGTGATTTACTGCACTGAATGCCTTGGAAACCACATCGGCATTAGGAAGTAGTTTAGAGCCTGGTCTAAGTCATGTGCCTACCCCTTACCTTTCCATCGATTGTGTTATTGGGTACAGCAAAGAATTTACCAGTAAGTATATATATATATATACATACATATATATATAAATAAATCTAATTATGCAAGTTCTCTGATTCACTTCTAGAGGAAAATATTATCCATAAATGCATACATGTAACATTTGGCTGGATTAAGGTCATAGCCAATGTCTGGATTCACAAAGGCTTTGATTTCAAATATGTTAGTGTAGATTTTATGCTGCAAGCTGCATGCAGGACTTGCACATAGGACTTAAATATGCTGCAAAATGCTGAGTGACTCAGGGTGATGCTGAGTACACACAAATCCCTCCCGGGACCCTGATACATGTTCAAATTAAAGTCAAACAGAAACCAGCTAGAGAGTTATTACACATTTTCAAGCACTAACATTATTGTTGGTTGGGTCTTTTTATAGCTGGATAGTGATTTTTATTGTGTGATAATTACTTTGCACTAGTGGCTGGTCTTACTTTTCACATGTGGCCGGTCTAAATTAATTTAGCAATTAACCAGGCAATAAAGTAATATGTGTAATGTTTAGTAGGAGCCTACGGTACAGAAGCAGGAGAAGGTGGGGCATATCACAGAAGATACTCACTGTTCCACTGTGATCCCTTTCAGGGTAATTTTTCCTCTACCTTCTGATGGGAGGTGGGGCTGTCTCATAATCTAAAAAGATATAACTGGCCTTGTGTCCTAGAAAGCATCACACCATTAACTTCCAAGTCACTGCTCACTTGAGTGAGGTCCATGGGATGCCAGCCCTAATATCAGGTTTACTTTACTTTGACTTCAATAGAAATTGCACCTAATTTGCTCCTGTTCAAGTGAAAGCAGTTTGGTCCTTAGCAAACAGCAAAGATCCTGACTCTGCTATCTGATGTGTAAAGGACTCCTCCACCCATATGGTGCTGAAGCGACTTCAGTGGTGTCTGCACAGATCTGATGACAGATTTGGGGCATGGGATGTCAACAGCCCCAGTCACAATAACGTATGGAGTAACTGGTTACTTATAAATGATCTAGTACTGAAGAACCAAACTTTGTTTTCCAATCAGGAGTTAATGTAAAGCAAGTGCAAGAGCTGGCAAATAAAATACAAACTGACAAAGAAACTGTGATCCTTACTTAAATCCTGGGATGTGCAGATTCAGGATAAGAAAATCATTGTCAGAGCCCCCTGCCCCGCTCTGAATATGGTCACCAGCCACCTCCCAACCTGCAAAGGAAAAAAATCCACATTTCCAGAAACAGACAGTTTATATAAAAGTGTCCTCATCTCTCTATATAATACAGGGGTTTTCAATAATTCAGTAAATAAATTAGTGATTGAAAAATATAATTGGAACAAATTGTCAAAAAACTAATTTCTTTTAAAAAGGAAGACATTTTCAGGATGGATATCAGCTCCTGGACATTGTCCATGTCAGATGCAAATGTCACCTTTGAAGCTGTGATTTAACAAGAAACTTGAAATTCAGTAAATTGGGGTCAGACTGGATGACTGGAATGGTCCCTTTGTGCTCTAAAATCTATAATCTAGGAATGTATGTGCTTAAGTTTAAGTATGTGGTTTGAATTATGTTAGTGAAGCAGCCTTATCATGCACCCTAGAGAGCAGTAGTTCTTATACAGAACAGGACAGGAGCAGTTCCTCATAGGCGCACACAGAAGTACAGGCATAATAAATCTCTGAATAGGAACATGTCCACAGCTGCACTGTGACTGCTTTCTGCTGCCACCTCAGGACACATGCAGGGAGAAGACTCTGAAGACACCAGGTGTGGGGTGTTTCCTCAAGTCTCAATGATCAGGAAAAATGACATTAAGGATAAATAGGAAGAAACTACAGTACAACAAAAATGTGGACATTTATTTTCCTATATAACCCTTAGCTCACTGATTCTCAACCAGGGTGCCAGGACACCATGGGGTGCCTTGAGAATATTTCAAGTGTGATGTAAAATGTTAGCTCTATTAGGTGAGCAAACACGATTGACAAGATAAACCCAGGGTTTTCACGTACGAATTCAGTGTTAAAAAAGCATTCTGACTGGTGTGATGTGAGGTCTTTGCAACAGAAGAATTGCTCTATTACTTTTCTGTAGTCAAAAAAGAGCAAAAACTAAGACCTGACATTTTCCAAGGGGTGCCTCAAGTCTATCAGTGCATGCCTTGAGTCTAAAAAGAACTACTGCCTTAGATGCACCCTGTACTCTGTAGCATGGCTAACTACATCTTTAATGTACTCTAAGCTGTTCAGTTGGTATAACCTGGGATCAGATCCTACGCCACCTATTAGGCACGTAACAGAATGTATATTCTTTAGCGTGATCCATCTAATGTTAAAAGCAGATAGGTTCTCCTCCTCCCCACTTTTCTGTACCTCAGAATAAAGAGAGTGTGTTACAAAAGCAGATTCATTAATGGATTTTCAGGACTTGCATTAGGTAGAATGCAATCACATTTAAGCGCCTAAGATGCCTAGCAGGTAAAATGGACTCTGGCATCTGGTCTTGTTCCAGGAAAGTTAACAGACCAAAGCTGATTTATTCCAGCTGAGTCTTGCCCTTTATTTCGTCTTGCTTGGTATTCAACAAGATGATTATCCACTGACTTATCACACCTATGTGCAATGAGAGGAAGAAAAGGAGCTGTATGCTGGGGTTAACTGAGCCAAGCACGTATTTGATGGGCCCTGAGAGTGTGAACAGACAAACACATTCTCTTGTATAATTTACTCAGTTCTGTATACCAGAGACAATTAACTAGGATCAGGAACAGGCAGGTGTGAAGCTATCCCAGGGTACCTCACACAGTAAGCAGCAATTGCTTTGCCACCACTAGGCGACACAGGAGCAAGTAATACCCTGGTTGCCCACAGCAAACAGCTACTTAAGGATGGTTGTGGACGTATGAAACTTAAAGCAATGCAAATTACACTAATAGCATTTTTCCCTGGACTCTTTTAGGAATAGTTCCCTACATGACTGTGTTGTTATCCCATGTTAGGTGTCTGTGTCATCTGTCCACTACTTTTCTTTTTTTTCTTTTCTTTTTTCTTTTTTTTACAGCAATGTAATATGTTATGCTGATTACGGAAGTGTAAGCCTCTCTGTTCATGACCTCAAATACTCTTACAATCAGTGAAGGTGAAAGATAACAAGGTAGAGAGAGACCGGCTCACCATTCATTCCATCGCACTTCGAATTTCCAACATTAAAACAAGAAGTCTTCATATTGGCTGGCAGTATGTTCCACCATTTATATTCAAACCCAAGAGCTGGTTCAGTCCCAGCTGGGCAGGCCTGGCATTCTACAGGGGAACAGCAGGGAAAGGAAATTGCACCCAAGTAATAACTATCAAATGCAGCACTTTACACAAGTATAAAGGGAAACAATAGTGTTTCATACAGGGCAACTGAGAATGAAATGGAAGATACGTGTAAAAAAAAAACTTGCCCTTCAAACCTGAATGATCATTCTTAGAATCTAAGGATGTAAGAGCAATCACCCAAAGTGCAAAGACAAAAGACTCCTTGCTGACGACTCTTACAATAAGCTTGGCTGGACAAGAATGTCCTGGGGAATCAACAGGTCAAGGTAGAATCATCATAGAAGTAGGGTCGGAAGGGACCTTGTAGATCTTCAAGTCTGATCCCCTGCCTGGGCAGGAAGAAAACTGGGCTCAAATGACCCCAGTCAGGTAGGCATCAAGCCGCTTCTTAAAGGCCCCCAGGGTAGGAGCCAGCACCACTTCCCTTGGAAGTTGGTTCCAGATCCTAGCCGCCCTTACTGTGAAGTAGTTCTTGTGGATGTCTAATCTAAACCTACTCTCCAACAATTTGTGGCCATTATTCCTCGTTATCCCTTGTTATAGAGGGGTGGTGAAAAAGAGTGAAAGGTCATGTCAAGTTGACATGGTCAGACTAGCTTACTTAAGGCATGCCTGTTTCTGTAGCCAATGGGCATGTCTACATGTTCATTAACTTGTATAATCCAGTACTAAATAAATGCACAGTAACTGGAGTTACTGCACAGTAGTGCCAGTGAATGCTTTTTAAGTGATGCTACTGCGCAGTAGCCTAATATTATTGCACAGTAGCATTTTAGCACTATTTGTGCTGTGATGCGCTACTGCGCAGTATTATTAGACTACTGCACTGTCACCATCTCATGTAGACACACTCACTGACACACAAGGAAGTGACGTGGTGCAAGGTATCACATCTGGCTGCTCTGATTCCACATCCTGAACAATCAGATGCCAACTTTGGTACAAGCCTAGAGGAAGGTACAAACTCACCCCTCTGACCCTGTAGCACAGTGCCTTAAACATTCTGCTCCCATGCCCCCTGGCAGGGGATGGATTAGGATGAATTTTATGCTAGAGCAGAGTAATCACTCTATCCTCCAGTGGCCCCTAAAAATAATTCTGAGGATGTTAACGCCAACTAACTAATGACAGCAATCCATTATTGCTGTAACACACCTATTCTTCATGTTCTCCATTCACCTCTCTATCCCCAAACACTGCTCTGATGTCATTTAACCACTAATTATTAGATGGATAAGAACCCTAGCTGATAGAAACACTTCATAAAAGCATAAGTAATGCACAGGCTAGTGATTTCCTTTAGGGAAACAAAACAAACATGGGTAGAAATTCACTGCAATGATCTACTGAAAAGGGGAATTCACCAGATAATAGGCCTCCTACCCTGTGTCCCATCCGAAAACATGCCCTGAGGGCAAGGTGTGCAGGAAGATGATCCATTATTGTAAAACCCAGGGTTGCAGGGAGGACAGTCCTTCCTCTCTCCAGAAGGGGGTAGCTCCATTGCATCCCGAAGATCTTCCCTACAGATTTTAGGCTCTATCCATTTATACATGATCTGAGTCTGAAATGAAAAGTATGGTGTCAGATTGTAGAATCATAAAATTATGAGAAAGTAGGCCTGGAAAGGACCTCAAGAGGTCATCTAGTCCAATCTCCTGCCAGAGGCAAGATCAAGGTCATATCTATCCTTACGAATCCAGTCTTGCCTCTTAGCAAAACTACACAGTCAATCCCAGTCAATGCAAGACATAACACCCTAAACTGCTGCATGTAAAGCAAGGGGACCATGGCCAGGACCAATGTCCTGCTGCTATAAAGGTTATCAATATACGCTCATGAGATCCTAGGAAGAGGGCCACAAAGCCCCATTACAGAAAAATGCAAAAAAAACAACCCCACAGTCCATGCCAATCTGACCATGAGGTAAAATTCCTTCCTGACCCCAAATATAGTGATCAGTCTGACCCTGAGCAAATGGGTAAGACCCTCTAACCAGGAATCTCTGGTTTTAAGTCCCAGCAGTAACACTGGCACACCCCAGTGAAAATCTCATAACTTGGCTGCAGCCAATGTGCAATGCTTCTGAGGAAAGCAGAGGAAAAATAACAACAAGACCTTGACATCATGTAGCAAGAGGATGATGAAATAATTTCTTCCTAGTCCCATGTGCCAACTAACAAAGGCCAGAAGCATGGGGAATACCCACAGTACAGCACAGATATAGCTACTCCTAGAACATACTTGATCAATGCTTATCCAGCCTCTTCTTAAACACCTCTGACAAATGTGGAAATCATTGATACCACTACTACTCTATGGCCCAAATCAGGACTGAGACCAGATTGTGCTAGGTGGTGTACATGCAGATAGGAACCTGCAGCCCTCCCTAATGTATTTCTAATATGACTTAAAGCAAAACGGAACAAGTGATTATGATGAACAATAAATATGAGGGAATGAAGGGTGAGTGCAATGGTAAAAAGATAACATGGGTGAGCTAATGGCTCCAAATGCATGAGCTAATGGCTCCAATCATTTGCAAGGATGCTGCTTTTTAATTAATAAATAAATAAATATGTGCTATCCCTGACTCCCCTTCCCATCAGGAGATCTAAAGCCTGTCAAGTCAGTAGGTCTTTCCACTGAGTTTGCTGAACTTTGCTCTGGGCCTTAATTAATTGGTTTCCTGTAAGCATCCCAACAGCCCACCACTGACCATATCTAAACCTTGTGGCTCTGGCCTTCCCATCTTTAACCCTTGCCTATTTCATTGACTCTTCGCTGTACACCACTTGGGATCTCATGTAGGAAGAGTGCCACAAAAAAAAACACTCAGGTTTTTTTCCTCTGTATTTTAAAGAGCCTAGCACAATGGAAAACATCCCTCTGAAAACCTCACAAGCTATTTATCATCTCAGCATATGCCTGTATTTCAAAAAAAATCCTAATTTTTCCTCCCATCATATTAGCACATTCTTCTTTGGAAAGAAAGTAGTACCAGATCACATGAACTCTCCTGAACTGCCACATTAAATAAGCGCTGATTTGTATGCACCAAAGTTTTAGTTCTGTATAGACACTGCAAAATAAAACTGCAACTCTGGTTCATCATGGACTGATCCTTACAGAATTTGGGTTTCTGGATTGCACTAGGCTGTGATGGCCTATAAAGGTTTAATATTTAAAAAGAAGAAAATGAGGTAAGTTCCAAAAACTGGGAAACATTTAAATTACCCAAAATTAACTGTCTCTTTATACCTCGGGGGTGGCTCTTGAGGATGATGATACTGACAACTACATTATAACTGTCATATAACAATAGGGAATTTAAGAGAGAGTTAAACAGCCCTTTTGATTCTTACTTGCAGTAGGGTTCAGATTTATAGATTTGCCTGATTATTATTTATTTTTGCAGTAGGTGTGCAGAACATTTAAAATAACACAGACCAGTGCCTTAAAGAACCTACAAAGAAGGAAAACTTGAGTGTGAGCAAACTTTACACACACAAGTAATCCCACTGAACTCAGTGGAACTCATATTGTGTATACAGTCTGTGTGAGACTGGGGCTTATCCAATCAGCCTTGAATTTTCCAAGGAGCAGGTCGATGAAAGGGGTATCTAACTCCCTTTGGACTTTTTGAAAATCTCAATTTAAGTCCTGGCGCTTACAAGCCCAATCTTGTACGCAGGAAAAGATATCCACTGACTTCACTGGCCCTTGGATCAGGTCCCTGACTCGAAGAGACTACACACACAAACATAAATGGACACAGTACAACAAGTGATGGCAAGAAAAGCATTCAGGAGTGACCTATTTGTGACTTGACTTTCAGAAATGCTGAGTGCTGACAGCTGCTGCTACTCTGGGTGCATTTGTTGCACGCTCCTGTGTGGGGAACTTTCTACACAGAGCTGTTTAATATGTTGATGAGTTCATTTTACAATACTTTGAGAGAAAGGTCATCAGGAAGGCAGAAGGAGTGGGTCTGCACTGGGAGGCTAATCAAAGCAAGTGAGCCTTGAGGAGGGACTTGAATTTCACAGCTCAATTACAAAGTAATCTGCAGGAACTGCATGACAGCACAGTACCTTAGGGTGCAGTGGAAAAGGCTATTAATTCAGAGTCATTAGAGAGGGAGGTTTCGGAGCACAAGTACTGCGTAGTAAGTCATGGGTTCAGATTTGTCTCATTCGGAAGGTCAATATTCTAAAATCGTTTTCATTAAAGCAGATTCAGACACAAAAGGTGTGTGTAATTGGCTGAAAAATTCCATCCTGTTAGAAAGTGGTATGTTAGCTGCACCTGGTTTGAGTGGATTGTGGTGACTTGCTACCCAGTGTTGGCTGAAGGGAGGTGGGAGGGGGATCTAGGGTGTGGGCAAAGCAACCCTAAATGAACAACTGTGATGTCAGCCAAGTTTCAGCAAAATTTGTGTCAGGACAATGTCATAGCTGGCAGCTGCTTGCCCCAAAAATCCAAGCTGTGATCTCAGCCCTCTCACAAAAGAGTTCCCATACGACTATGGGGAAAATGGGAGTAAAGTCCCCATTATAGTTCACCCTATCATAAATCTAGCCAGTGGATGTTCAAGATGGTTCTGGAGGCAAGTCTGTATTGTTATCAGCATCTGGGTCCAGATTTTGTCAACACCTACACATATGAGAAAGATCAAGTCAGACAGATCGTGGGCACAAGTTTGGCAAAACCAGGACCTTGCATACTATGGTGATAGTTACTGAAGGAAAATCTCAGACAGATATTTATAGTTCCTGGAGGAAGTGAGAGGGTGATCCGAGTGACTGTCCCTAAATCACTAAGGGGGTGCAATTCTACTTCCTTAACTGACAGTTTTCTAGCTGCATACATGGTGTTTTCAGCACTCATGCACAGCTAAAAATTCAGCTTTCCCTGAAGTGTGAATAAATAAGTGTCTAAACAGCTGCCAGGGTATAGGTTGTAGCTGTGTTGGTCTAAGGACATAGGCAGACAAGGTTCTTTGGGTAAGTCCAACATCTTTTATTAGACCAACTCAAAAAGTTGGAAAAATTCTTCTTAGCAAGCTTTCAGGCACAAACACCCTTTGTCAGGCTGAGAAAGTGTCTGCAGATGGTTTGTGCTCTCCCTGGATGGAGTGGTAAAGCAGCCAGAGGCCAATACGGATTCAAGAAAGCCAGCTACTGAGCATGTGCAATAAGCTACAGGTACACCGCTATATGGAAGGCTCCTCCTTCCTTTATCCTAGAAAAAGCACAAAGGAAGGAGGAGACTACCACCTTTTAGCCCTAGTTGCAGAGTGGCTAGGGCACTCCTTCAGAGAAGTGGCAGACCTGAGGTCTAAGCCCACCTCATCCTAAGGGGTTTTGAACCTGTCTCTTGCTCCAGTTTTCTAACACCACGCTCTAACCATCCTATACAGGTTAGGCATTGTCCAGTGCTCCTTTTGAAGCTTAGCCGAGACTTCCCATGCCCAAAAAAGGGTGACTGCACCCAAAAGCTTGCCAAGAATTTTTTTTCCCCCAGCTACTCAGTTGGTCTAATAAAAGATATCACATCTACTCAAAGAACCTTGCCTGCCCTTGCCTTTAATAGTCACTGGATAAATTGAATACAGAATAGTACAGAAGTTTATGCTCCCCTGTGGGTAAGGGTCCAGGCTAACACTCAGGGCCGGCTCCTTTGTAGAACAGCAGACATCTCACAGAGCCACCTACCATGTAGCTTGTGTGCATCCTCCTGGCCCAACATTTCTCCCTCTCTTATTTTACCAGAGTTAGCTTCAAAAGAAGTGCTGAAGAGTGGCATGGATAATGCCTGACCTGCAACAAGTACTCAGCCCCCCCTATACTGATAACTCAAAAAGATGCAGGTTCAAACCCCCCTGGGCAAAGGAAGTCCCAGAACCCAGGGTTTTGGCTTCCTTGGGTAGTGCCCTAAACACTCAGTGATTTTAGGGCTAAAACATGGGAGGATCGTCCTTGTGAGTCTAGCAACATTAGTCATGGGTTTCTGGCCTGCTTCATTTTTGCAATTTAGATGTGGGTATGGGTCTATAAAAGGCATACATGCACAGCTAGGGTGACCAAATGGGACAATGTGAAATCTGGGACACTGCCCTCCAAGCCCTGCCACAAGTCAGCAGCACGGCTGCAGGTAGAAGTGGGGGTGGTGCGGCAGGGTGCAACGTTGGTACTACTATTCAGGCAGCTAAGGGGATCAATGGCCTGTTAATGACCCATTGTTCCTTACTTCAAAGGTGTTAACAATCGTCTCCCTTTTCAATGGTCTTTCCACTAATCAAGCTAACCAATTTTAGAGCAATTTTGCTGTCTGCTAGGGCTTCCTATTTCACAGCTTGCACTAGTCCACCTCCCTGCCAGACTGCACACCATGCTCCGCACCCGGGGATGCTCATTTTAATTTTCACCAGCCGGCTGGGCCTGGCCTCTTAAATCCAGGACTGTCCTGACCAAACAAGGGCATATGGTCACCCTTATACATAGCCATGTGCAGGCCTAGTCAGTGCACAGCTTACTGCCCATGCTTAATCTGTGTGCACATACTTAGATGCCAACAATGTAGATAAAGTTGAACTACTTCCTGCATGTAAGTGCCAAAAAGGCCATTACATTGCTAGAAAACTGCCATTGAGATGCACAAAAGGAAGCAGGATTCTACCCTAAAAGTAACTGCTACAAAAAGAATAAGAATGCAGGAGTTACTGGCTCCCTGATTGGTGTCCAAATCAATAGACTTCCACTGTGTCAACGAATTAAAGAATAAAGTCAAACTGAGTGAGCCTCTTGCTTACCTTCCCTTCCTTATCACACGGTGTATGGATCTGGAAGAAGTCTTTGTTCGTACAAGGAGGACGCTCCATGCACTGACTAGATCCCTCATCTGGAAAGGAAGGTCGAGAAACAGAACATTACGTGATTAAATGATTTCTGCAAAAATGAAAAACAGGGTTCAAGAATCAATATATCCAGTTAGGCAGCAAGGTGAAACAAGGAATTACAGAGTTAAAAATATACACATTCAAAACCAAAACCACAATTGGTAGGATTTTTAAATGTGCTATGAAGAAATAGCCACCCTACCACTGCTCCAGACTAGAGGTAATATAGTTTTTAGGCTCCTTTGAAAATCTCATCTATTATTTTTACAATGCACTTGGCTTTGCAACTCATTGAGACAGCAGTATGATCATACTTCTGTAACACTGGACTTTTCATTGAACAGCAAACTACAATTCGCACAGATCAGGTTGGCACTGAAATTAAATTCCTTTTGACAATGAATAGAATTGAGAGTCTATTTCCCTTCAGATCTTTTCCCCATTGGAATCAATTACAAAATTCCCATTGATTTTCATGGAAGCAGACACACATCCCTAACTGGTATCCATAACTCATGTTTGCATTTAAGAGCTAACATGCTTGCAGCAAGTAATCAGTTCTTTAACAATGTTCCTTAAAATCATTCTACGAGAAAATGAATACCAGAAGTTAACTACTCTACAATAGTCAGGAAGCAAGTGGGTAGTATTTGAGGTGCCATCACAGTATAGGGCATGTCTATGCATCATACTATCTGAAACCCTCAAAACATTTGCAATTAAATTTCTATTGCAAAAGTATTTCTTTAAATACAAAGGATAGCTAAAAATCTTGATTGAATACTTTAATGGAATCCAAACTTCTCACCCTCGAAAAGGCTACATAAAGCTGTCCACGTGTAAACACAGGTATAGGAATATAAATACATATTTTGTCAAAAGTCTGACCTTATGACTTGCTCATAGTCATAAAGTAAGAGGGCCCTTGCACATGTGATGAAGGGTCCTTGTACATGTGAGGAAGTTGCCTCTTTTAGTGGCTTAATTGCCCTGTTTAATGATTTAATTGTGTGACAGTGCACACGTTTGGCAGCATGTTACAATTAAATTTTGTAACAGTGTACATGTTCGGCAGCATATTTCAATTTAAATGACTTTTTTATGTAGCAAACTAAAACCCATCCCAGGTACTTTAGCTTGCTACATAACAAATTACAGCAATATTCCTCACATGTACAAGGGCCCTATCCAGAGAAGGAGGAAGGGATGGTGTACAGGGTGCTGGAAGCCCAGGCGTGCTCAGGGAAGCTTGGGCTTGCCGGGCTTCCAGTGTCCCATGCACCGTCCCCGCCACTTTCTCCAGCTGCCAGCATACCCAGATGCCCTCCTGCTGCTTTGCTGGGGCAACCAGCCCATTCCCAGGCAGTCCCAGGCAGAGGGAAGGTGGTGGGGATGGTGTATGGGGCACTGGAAGCATGCCAAGCATGTCCAGGCTTCCAGTGCCCTGTGCACTGTTGGATCTGGTGGATGCTGCCTGCAAGCTGGAGCTGGACCTGCACAGCTAGCACCCTGCCTGCATGGCCCCAGGGGACATCACCACCACAGAGGAAAGCGCTGGGCCCCCACCCCCGCAGCTCAGGGGCTGCATGACCCAGCAGCAGCTCTCATAGGCAGGGCAAGGGTGAGGCAGCAAGGGGCCTGATCTTTTTTTTTTCCTCCCAGAGCCTGCCTGCATCTCCCACAGCCGGGGAGCAAGCTACCAGTGGGTCATGCAACCCTGAGCTGCAGGGGACCCTGGTGCTTCCCTCTGTAGCAGTGGTTCTAGCTCTGACTTGCCTGCACATCTGTTTGAAATGTCTCGGGATCTATAATAATAACACACTTGTTCTGTCTGTCGGGAGCACTGTGATTGGTCGTTTCAGTAAACATTGCGATTGGCTGCCAAGACAACCAATCAGAGTGCTCTGGACAGACAGAATAAGCCTACTATTATTATAAATAAGCTGTAGATGCCCGGTACATGAATCAAACATAAGCCAGTCCTTGAAAAACATTCAGTCCTGTTGAGACAAAAGGACAATTTGGAACAACTCTTGTACAAAAGGAAATCCTGCAATATTTTACTTGGGAAACACCATCAAACTCTTGTTATCCAGAACAAAATATAGTCCCCAGTATCCTGGAAATTGCTGCGTGAAACAGACAAGATTCCAACATGATCCCTGATATAACTACACCAACACCTCTGATTTCAATGCTGTTATGCCATGGATGAATCTGGTCCATCTTATCCAATGCTTTCCAGCCACCATGGCTGGGGAAACAAAAGAGTTTTGATGGCTCTCTTTCATGCCCAACTTATAGCTAAACCATCATGGGCTCCATTCTACCAGATATGACAAGCAGGGATGGGGAAGCGGGCAAGAGGAGTATATGGATGAGAGACTCCAGGAAACATTTACGTGTGGATGGGTCAGGAGTTGCCACTGGGTCAGGAATGAACCAAGGCCCCATACTGGTATTAGACAGCACCGTTCAATTGCTATCATCATGCAGAAGAAAATTAAAGCCAAAACTATTGTAGAGCTCATGTCCCTTTCTTTTAAAGTATGGAAGTGCCCTGGCCAACTTCTACTGTGGGGCCATTATAACCTACCAACAGAAATTCCCGCCCCCAGAATCTAAGAAAGGCACTGTATTAATCTTCACTTTGTGTCCCAGCCTACTTGACTACATTTCAGTGGTAGGTAAAGCAATTCTTGTTCAAATGCAGACCTACATACAAGCTTGTAAAGCTGACCACTGTCCCACACACTCACATATTCATGGATTTTATTCATCTCCTGCCATGTACCTGCATAATGTGTTGCTTCTTTACATTTGGTACATTCCTTAGCTCCTTTCTCTGAATAGGTATTTCTTGGGCACACTTGGCAGTTGGAAGACCCTGGTTTATCACTGAATGTACCAGGTTTGCATGGAAAGCATTCAGATGTATACGCAACTCCTGTAAAGCAAAGTAGAGGTAAAGCACTTGAATAAACACAGAAATACAGAGATAAACTCCACTGCTCCTGTCTACCCCACTGTCTTGGGAAAATAAACACTATGTATACCATCACTGAATACCCACAATCACCGCTGGCTTAAGTCCCCTGGGCTTTGCTATCCGAAAGTGCGGTGCTGCAGGTCTTACCCGGGTCAAACACCCATTCACCTCAAAGCTTATGCCTTTTTGAACAAGTTAGTCCCTGCCTTGCCTTCTGCCATTCACCTCAATCAAAATTCAATCTGAATGAAAATCATATTATATTCCATCAGAATACCATTATATTCCACTCCATCTGTTTAAACTTCAAAATTAACCTAAATGACTATTCCAGAATAATTAAATGGTTTATTTAAAGATGACTGAACCATAATTATTCTGGAAGAGCCCTTTCAGTTAATTCTCAAGGACAGACCTTTTTAAAACATTTTTCCTCTTCTTCTTGCTATTCCAGTCCTGCCCAGCAGATGTCACCATTTGCCAATTAATCCCCCATAACACACTTCTCATACCTTTGTTTCTAGAGATTAGAGAATATCCACAGAGTTTACCGGCAACCCCTGCTTAACGCCGTTTCGCTTAGCGCTATTTCACTATAACGCTCGTTTTACATTGATACCCGATTCCACTTAGCGCTCAGCGAGTTTCGTTATAACTCACAATCGCCATCTTGGTTCGTCAAAATATTCGGTTTCACTTAACGCTATTTCTGCTTAATGCTCAGTTTTTCGGGAACCAATTAAGAGCGCTAAGCGGGGGTTGCCTGTACTGTGGTTATGATAATGAAAAATGCTCTTTCCCAAACCAAGACATTTGCCTTTGAAGACAGAAATAGTAATAATAGAGTTATCACTACAATGGACAACGAACTTAGATTAACAGCTCAACCTCGCCTACCTTCAATTGTGATGTTTTTCACTAGGACAGGTTTCACCACTTTTGACCCCATGAGAATCCCCGTTGTTCTCCAGTATAATATATTTGTGCCTGATTTCAAAGTTACCTGCAAAAATAATGGCATGGCAATTAGCACCCCTCCTCAAAGGTATTCTTTTATTGCTTTATGTAAGTCACCCATTTCAGTGACTCAAATTCCTCACCTCCTTCCAGGACTTCTAGTTTCCTGGTCAACTAAACTAACTTTGTCTGGTATATCAAGGGCTGTGGGAGGCAGCAGTCAAGAGAAGAAGGCAGCAGTGCCTCCCCTCTGAAAGCAAGGGGCATGAGGATGCTGGGAGGCAGAGGCTCAAAGGTTTCCTTTGTGGAAGTGCCCTGTATCCTACCTTCAAGCTATTTGTAAGCAGTAATGCAACAGTCATGTTCCCAGCCCTCTCCAGACAACCCACAGTCGCATGTGGAGGTGCCTAGCTCCCCTAGACATCCTAGCAATGCTTAACTCTGCTGACCTATTCTCTTTCGGATATAGGACCTTAACTCCTAAGTTTGGTTCTAAGGGCATAGGGTCCAGTATTTGACAAGCCATTTTTTATGGCTAATTCAGCAATTTCAGTGGGCTTCTCCAATGCATTCAGGATTAGCCTGACTGGCTGCTTTGCCAAGCCTTTGTTTGCTCTGGAAAGTTTTCCTGTCTTGACTATACCACAGTTCAAATGGTATCATTCATCCAGCGTCAACCCAAACATGTCAGTAGAAAAGTGGTTTTATTGATACACCTTTTCCTGTACAGGATGGGGAATAGCTATACCAGCAGGAGGCAACTTAAAGCAGAATCTTTGCATCTACACAGAGCTATACAGGGATAGCTTTGCTGGCAATAAATTAAAAAATAATCTCATGCACGCACACACTTCCAGATGAAAGTCACACCAGCAGAGGTGGCCTGGCAAATTTGTAACCAGTAGGAAAATGAACACCCTAACCCTCAGCAGGCTCTCTCTAAGCATGGCACCATCCTGGGGTGGGATATCACTTCACTTTTCTCTTCACACCAGTCCACCCTGTAAGGCAGTCCAGCTCCCAGATATACCGTGTAAACCGAGCCCAAGCCAATGGGAGCAGGCTGAGGCCATCTCTGAGCACTTCTAACAATCCCACACATTTTGGTGACTCAAAGTGGGGAATTTTAAAGAAGCCACTCAGCAAACAGCCCCGCCAGGATCACGCATGTAATCCAACGCACAGCTCTTCTAGAGAAACGTCCCCAAAACTACCCATTTTACTACGGCCTTGACCACACCAGAAAGATTTCCAACGATGTGGCTCCCTCCTAGTGGAGACACAACTGGATATAGCCTATTTCCACTTCTTCAAGCAGTCAGCAATAGTGGCAAAAAAAAATATTTTGCTAGTTTAACTGCATCTGCTTTAGCTTTTTTGCCAGCTCGCTCTGTCATTCAGCGGCACAATCTAAACAGCATAGCCGTATCAACCTCTTCAGGGTACGCCAGCCTCAGTCTCTGGATTAAAAATCTTTGCTCAGAGAAAATAAACTAAGAGCTAGCCACTGCAGAACCACTGATTAAACTGAACTGATTTAGCAACAAATTGAGTTAAGTGGATGCTGCTTCCCCTGTGCAGACACTCTTAAACTCCAAAGAAGCCATATTAGAGCCTTGTTACACACTGTACCGTGAGCTCCTCAAATGCTGATCCGTGCTAGTGCTAGCTTGAGTTTAGAGCAGTCGCACCTGACAGCTAAAACCTCTCCCTGAATGACCTCCTGCACAGCTGTGACTTACCTCTAGGGGCCTGATTAGTAGGGGCTTGACTAAGAGTTACAGCTGTGACTTGCCTCTACAGCAGAGGTGGGCAAAATGTGGCCCGGGGACCGGATGCGGCCTACCAGGCCATTCTATCCAGCCCGTGTAGCCCCTAAAACATTTCGAATATTTATATTTATCTGCTCCTGGCTGCCTATCATGTGGCCCTCGAAGGCTTGCCAAAGCTCAGTAAGCGGCCCTCTGCCCAAAATAATTGCCCGCCCCTGCTCTACAGGCTTCTACCCCTGCTCTATGGGCAGTGTAAGAGATCCTGGGATACTAATGGACTTTAACTTGGGTGGCACATCTATATGGAGTGGTCACACTTCCATGGAACAGGAACTGTGTAGTAGGGATCAGAAATGATCCTGCCCTGGAGTGGTGTAACTTTGAGCCACATAATGAATGCTTAAAACCACTTTAAGATGCTAATGTGGGGGGTGCACAAAAGATAGGTTCAAGGTGATGGAAACATGAAGCTGGGAGGTGGAGAGTGAATGGCATGGGTGTGGGTAATGAAATGGGAGGTGAAAAGGAAACGAGGATGAGGGAAAGGTGGTGAAATGAAGGCAGCCAGCCACTGAAGGATAAAATAAAAAGAAATTAAAGAATGTAAAAAGAAATAAAGAGGAAGTAAATTAAAGAAGGCCTCCTATTTAATAAATTGGGATTTGGGATTGGTGTGAGGGTGCTGGTCATGCTTCCTGGGGTGGCTGGGAGGTGGGAACAGTGTGGGAAGGTGCTTTTCATGGAGCTACTGCCCCTGCCCCAGGAAGGAAGCCCCAGCTCATGGAGACCCAATCCCCCTACTTGTTCCCCCAGCCCACCCCCACCAGACCTCACTCTCAACCCATCCGTGCCCTGTGACATGGTAACTGGCTTGTGCTCTGCTGGATGTTTGCATGGGGTGCATCCCTGGGGGTGGCAAGATCACACTCCTGGGGACTGGAGGCAGAGTTGGCTTGGTGCCAGAACTACCCCCTGGGCAGCATAGTTCAGGGGGTAGAAATTTTGCCCACAGAGAACAGGAGGGTGAGGGGGATGGAGACACTGCATCCTGGGATGCTGGAGGACTGCAACTTGGACACCTCATCTATGGCAAGTGGTCACACATTCATGGAACATGAGTTGGGCAACACAGATCAGAGATAAACCACTGGGGTGGCATAACTTTAAACTGCCTAAAGAGTTTTTAAAACTAGTTTCAGGTGTTAATTTTTGGAGAATCCAGGCTGTCATTAAGCGCTCCAGAAGCCATCTAAAATTAACGTGTAAGAAGACCCTTAGAGATGGCTATGTTTATTTGCTAAATAGAGTTTTAAACTGATGAATTCAATCAGTGAACAAATTAGAGGTAACCCAGTTCCAAAATGCACTTAAAAATAAGAGATCAAATGGCATCCTTACATGAACACACGAAGCTCCCACTGATTGCAGTGTTTTCCACAAAGCAGAAAACAATCTATGGCATTAATGAACAACCAGGCCTCTAGATTACGGTTGCTGAGAGTGACTCATAGCATTTTGATTCACATAAATCTGTCTGCTTTCTTAAAGGCATGATTAAAAGGGAAGAAGATCTGCATTGATTCAGTAGTCTTTGCACCAGGCCTTTACAGCATCCATCAACTCTGATGTTGATCCTAAGGGATTTTGTGCTCCTTTAATAATCTTTCAATGCACAGGATCTAGCCCTTACTTCCTGGCACCTCATGGGAAACAATGTTAAATTATCAATGAAACAAGAGCCTTAACCAAGTGATACACAGCACTTACAGAATGAGCGCCCCATTCACCATTATCTGTTAGCTTCACCCATTTGTCTGCTGTGGAATCCATCTCCTTGCACTGGTCGTTTTGAATCTGTCAATTAAAAACAGTGACCCCAGTTAGACATCAGGCTAATTATCCCAATTTGGATACATACCACTTGGCTGCCTAGAAACAAAGAAAGATGCTGTGCCACTCTGAGTGCCACTGGTAATGCATTCTGGACACTGCTAATGCATTCTGTATAACTTGCTGCAAAGACATTAGGCACACACATGCAAAACTGATAGCACTCTAAGGAAGGGCTTCAAAAGATAGCACTGCCCAGTGCATTCTGGAGAGAAAGTGCAGTGTTAAAGGTTAGCACATATGGAGCCCAGGAAGTAATGAGCATCCGGAAGACAGTCCAGCTGCCAAGATATAATTATTTGCTGATGAGCTTTTAAAGCAACAGCATGTCCGCTGATGCACATGAGGGGAAAAAAACTTCAGGCAAGAAAAATCATTGCTATTTTGCTAAAAACAACTAATAATTGCGAAGGCGGCCTTCAGACCTAGCTCCAGATTCTGTTTTACTTATTGCGCACATAAGTGGACTCAGGTGTCTAAGCCAGAATCGATTCGAGTCCCTGAAAACCAGCTAATACAAAAGGTGTGTGGGTCCTTCTCCTCCTTCGGCACATTTATACATGTAACTACCACACATTAATAAACTGCAGAACTTATTGCTCCGGACTTAATTTCTCCCAGGTGTGCTGTTTCAACATGCACCTGGAAGCACTTAATTCTGGAGCAATAAGCTCTGCAGTTTATTCAGGCACAGCACATGAAGCCCAGGCAAAGCAGCCATGGCAGCCTGGGGCTGCTCCAACCCGGCTCAGTGTGCTGTGGTAAGGTTGGATGAGGCACAAGAGTGCGTCGGTGTAGGGTAAGCCAGCAGGCATTGCCACCTGACCCCACATTGAAGCACCCTCATGCCCCAGCCAGCTGGGTCAGCATCTATGTGTGCGTTGCTACGCATGAAAAAACTCTGCAGCCAGCTAGGACTTGCATTTACAAGTACTAACCTGCGGTGTGGTTTATTAGTTTCCTGTGCCTTAATAGGGGTGCATGTGTAAATGCTGAGCCATTTATGGCAGAGCTAATTAGTCAGCTCCACAGTAAATGTCTCATGTAGATGCACCCCTTGCTGCTCTGTTGTGACCCACCATATTCGGGATCAGGAAGGAATTTTACACTGCGGTCATACTGGCATGATCTGTATGGGGTTTTCTCTTTCTCTGCAGCTGGAGTTGGGAGTGGGAAGGAAAGGGCGTGGAACCAAGACTCCCTTTCATCTCTTTAGAGTATTTTAACGACTACTTCCTTGCTTTGCAGTAGCTGCACGTGGGCAGTGCCATCATCACCCTGTCTCTACCTGTGGCAAGCTAGGATGCTTTTTGATGTTTCAGGCCTGAATTTTCATGACATTTTAAAGAACCCATGAAACAAACACTTGTCTAAAGTTTTAGATAGGGATGATCCTGCCCTGAGCAGGGGACTGGACTAGATGACCTCATTAGGTCCCTTCCAGCCTACTCTTCTATGATTGTATGATTCTGTAAAAATAAGATGATAACAGGTTATGAAAGTACATGCATTAATGGATTTGGAAGATTTAAATAGGGTAGAACAGATTGAATGTAGGCATCTGCATCCACTAAGATACCTAATAGATGGAATACAATATGGCTCCTAATATTTTTGCTTCTCTGCAAGAAAAAAAACTCAGTCAGTCGTTGAAATAACTACAGCTAGGAGCATGTTCCTATTACATTCAACTGATGGTAAAAGCACATTTGCTGCTTCCATCTTATGAAGCAGGCAGGACAGTCTAATAAAAAGCCTTAGGGGGTTTAATAAAACAGTATGTCCTGTCTCTTATCAAAGTGCAAGAGGTTGCATTGAACTACTAGCAGCAGTAGGAAGGTGCCCCAGGCATCAAAACCAAGTTATTTTTTGTCATCCTTTTCCATCCCATACTAAGAATAATGATATATAGTGGCTTTCATTCCAGCAGTTCAAAAAAGGTTTACAAATGCTAATTAAGCTCTAACACTCAGCTGAGACACCCTGTTTTTCTGATAGTATCGAAGGTGAGACCCAACCAATGCAACAAGTGAGCCCAACAGAGAATGCCCAGCACTTTTATTCCAAGTTGTTATTCCCTGCTAAGTTCCTCCTGCCTCCTCCTGAGCAACTTCTGCAACTTTGACCAGGAAAGCAAGATAGCTTTGGGTAGAATCTTCCACAGCACCTAAGCCTATGCCATATGATAAGCTTACGATGACTGGCAGCAGTGCCCTCAAACATGCCATACTGTCTCAAGTTGACTGCCTCCAAAACTGAAAGCAGAGTTGCTGGGTCCACGAAGGCCTTGGCTAATTAACACTGCTGGTTAGCCTGTGCTAATTAGCCTGCACACAACTACACTGCTTTAGGTTCTAAAGACATCCAGTGCAGAGCAGTATGGCATGTTTGACAGGGCTGTGTGAAATTTCACTGGCTGTTTCGTTTCGACACATTTTGATCACAAAACAGCAAAATCAAAATGAAAGGGAGAGCTTCAAAACAGCCTCGAAACAAAACAAGGGCAGTCAAAACATTTTGAAAGTTTCAAAACGTTTTGAGTTTCGAAGCAGCCCGGCTGAGTTCCTCTCCCCGGTGCTAGGATCACTCAGTTCCCCTCCCCAGTGCTGCAATCCATCAGGCTGGGGAAGGGAACTGAGCCCAGCTGAGCTGAGTTCCCCTCCTCAGCGCTAGGATCGGGCTGGGGAAGGGAACTCAGCCCACTCAGTTCCCTTCCCCAGCCTGATCGATCGCAGCACTGGGGAGGAGAACTGAGTGATGAGGCTCAGTTCCCTTCCCCAGTTCAATCGGGCTGGGAAAGGGAACTGAGCCCGATTGCACCTCCCCCGCAGCCCTCCCGGGGTTGCAGCCTCTGATCTGCCTGCTGGATGAGAGAAGTTGGGTGCTGCTGCCTGGGACCAGCAGCGTGCAGCTGCTGGTGGCAGCACCCAGCTTCCCTCCCTCATCTGGCAGGAAAATTGGGGACCCACAACCCTGAGAGGACTGGCAGAGCCCCTGCAGCCTTCCCGGGGTTGCGGGCCCCTGATCTGCCTGCTGGATGAAAGAGGCTGTTTAGAGCTTCCCCATTATAGCCTGTGGGTAAAACTAGAAACAGCATCAAAGCAGCATCACTATTTCAACAAAATTAAATGGAACAGCATTTTTGAATGAAAACAAAATTCAAAACAAAATGCTGTTCCATCAAAATGACGAAATGCAAGTCAAAATGGAAGTGCCGTTTCGCACAGCCCTAATGTTTGAGGGCACATATGGTAAGTGTGCAGCCCAAATGTTTGAGAAACAAATCTCACTGAAGGTCAATGGGATTTGGGCTCTTATAGCACTTGGCTCTTTTGAAAATCCCAACCTTAAGCCTCAGGCAGAGCTAGCTTGTCCATCCTCCCAGCTACAGGGTAATGACTCAGACCCTAAGATTATGGCTGACTCATGGCAAGTTTTCATTCCAATTGCTCCTCAGTTTTTGGATACCCAGTGGAGGTATTTTTCAAATAGGGCCCTCTGCCCTTTTTGATCATTAGGCCTGTTTGAAGGTATCTTCACTTAAATTCTCCAAAACTGAAGCACCTAAAATTGCTTGTCATGTCGGAAAATTTTGGAGTAAACTGCACTTATTTGGCTTTCTGCGGTAACACGCCCTGGAAAGAGAATTCCCACAGACTTCCACATATTCTACAACGGTGGTCACCTACCTCCCACGTAGCCACTAGATCTCACCTGAGGAGCTGGAGGGCTTTTCTTCTTCCCATGTCTGTGGAGCTAAGCAGAGGGAAACTGTACCCTCATTGCCACTGCTTCTACCCACCTGCCCATCCCTCCACCCCGCTGCAGGTACAGCTTCCAACTGGTAGAAAAGTGAGCCAGGGCTGGGCAACTTCCAGCTAGGAAGAAGTGGCAGTAGCGGGGTGAGCTCCCAGACTGCCCAACCCCAGCCCTGCTTGCACCACAGCCTGGGATCTGGGCAGGGAGGAAAGGGCTGGAAAAAATGGTGGCAGTGCCTGGCCCCAGTGTGGACATAAGCAACCCCCCTGCTGCTGATGCACTGCTGAAGCCATCCAGCCCACACCAGACTGAGACCAAGTTGTTCTGGCCTATGGCTTATAAATGTTGCCAGCCCCTGCTCTAGGATCTATACACGGGTGTAGTAGTACCAACGTAGACTGCATTCTTCCAAGTTAAAGGGACCCTAGAACAAACCTGGAGCCCTTGTTCTCTTAGCAGTCCCACTGAAATCCACAGAACTATCCATATGAGGGAACAAGACTCATATACGGATTAATTTTAAGATCAGGCTCATTATCCAGACCCAAAACTTTGGCAAAGGAGAAAAAAAACTACTCCAAGGAATATCATGGAACTGAATATGGTCAGAAATGCTTTTGTGACATTCAAAAGAACTATGTGAAAGCAGATTCTCTGCTGATTTCAACTTTATGGTAGGATGCTATAAACCCCTATAACTAGGAGAACAGTGACAGAAATGTTGGACACAAATGTACAGGAACTTTCTGCCTAACTACTTAGGTACTTTTGAAAAACCTACCCAACAATGAAAGCAGTCAGCATAGGCCAGTTGTGAATGTAATGTACAGATGTAACCAGGCAGTGTAAACAACAAGGAAAAATGAGATTTTTTAAAGTTTGTTCAGACTAAATGGGTAGAGGAGGAGAAAAATAAACAGTTTCCAGTGTAGGCCTTTATCTGAAACATGTCCTTTTACTCTAGGGGTTATATTCAGTGTAGAAAAGCCCTTACAAAAAACTCAAAGAAGATGTTGTTGTCAATATACTGGTATTCGAAGAAGACAGAGCCAGACTTCTTCAAATGAACTGCGTAGATCAGAGAAACTGTGCAGTCATCCCTATTAGACTCGATGTAATTCCCACGAGGCGTCCACGAGGAGCTGATAAATATAAACAAAAAAACCCTGGTTTTAGAGCACAGGCACGGGGAAGACATTTTTAACATCCTTCTATAAATATATGGCTTATATAAAACTATATTGCTTCATAAGGGACACAAATTCATTCCCTACCCCTTTAACATTGGCTTCAGATGCATTTTTCACAGTAACTAGAATGAGCTCTGCAAAGTCTACCTTTTCTCAGAACTTTTTTAGCCCGTGGTGATGTCTCATGTACCCTAAGCTGGAAGGTGTTCTGACCCGTGTTCTAAAATATCAAATCTCAGAGCCTCATGAACAGCCCTTCTGCAACTACTGAGTTTGTTTGGCATAGCTTTCGAGACAACTTCAAGACACTTTGGGCGCTTGTACACGTGATGGGGGTTTAGTCCTTCAGGGTTACATTCTATGCCCCCTAAGCTGAAACGGTGAGTTTTTAATTAAAACGGTGGGTTTTATTGTTCTGTCACTGTATACACATCATTGTCCTGGCAGCTGAAGGTGCCTACTGAAGGCAGAAGTGGCAAAGGACCTGATCCTTTCTTTTTTTTTTTCCTCCAGCAAAGCCTGCCTGCCTCTCCTACAACTATGGGGTGAGCTGCCAGTAGGCCAAGTAGCCCCTGAGCTGTTGGGGCCCCGGTCCTTCCCTCCACAGTGGTGGTGCCCTCTGGGGCCAGCTGGGCAGGGTACTAGTGGGCCAGGTGCTGCCCCAGCTCAGAAGCTCCTGATCCAACCCTTCCCCAAGCCCACCTGGGCTTCCAGCGCCCCATGCACCATCCCCACCACCTTCTCTGGCTGCCAGAACTCCCAGCCACCCTCCTGCCACCTCCCTGCACTGCCCCAGGGGCAAGCCAGCCTGGTCCCAGGTAGCCCCAGGTATCCTGGTGGTCACAGGCACCTGCTGAAAGTAGAAGCGATGAGGGGCCTGATCCTTTTTTTCAGTGGAGCCTGCCAGCCTCCCCTGCAGCTGTGGGGTGAGCGGACAAATTAATGGCTGCAACATTCCAAGTTGCAACATTGCAAACTAAACTACATTGGGATGTGGTTTAGTTTGTGACAATGCAAACTCACTTAAAACCCCCAAAACACAAGTATGTATAAAGTGTGACACCATTAAGCCACACAAAGGGAAATTTTCATCACGTGTACGTGGTAACATCGTCACATGTACAAGCACCCTTTTACTCTAAATCAGTCTTGGAATGACTGAGGCACAAGCCACAGAAGCCCCAGGCTGTTCTTAGTTTTGCTTGCTCCTAACGAGTAATGCCCCATAGGAGGCTATTAGGATAGCAAAGATTGGCTGAAAGCAAGTGAGCCCTTGCTACTCTTATCACACTGTTATCTTGGCCTTATGTCATCTGAGGACTGCTCCCCTCCCTTCCCCTGGTATAGAGGAATGCTCATGTGATGAGTTAAATTGACTTTATGCTGATGGGCCAGTGCAAAGCAACTGCGGCAGGTCAGATAGGGCTTGTTGTATTTCTCCTATATTTTTCATTATTCAATAGCCCTGCAGTATGCTGACTGGTACTATGCAGACTTTGCTTTGATTGCAAAATGTCTTTGCTTTTATGCATCTATGCAGCAAAGTGGGCACCACTTTCCTCTCGTTTTCCTGAGAACTCCCATTAAAAGATGATCCTGGGTCCCATTCTGATAGGCACTGTATATCAGTTACTGTTCCTCTGTTAACACCATGCAGAATCTATGTTAGTATGCTAACAAAGCAACTGTTTCCCCACAGCAAAACTATGTGCTAATCCCACTAAAATCCAAAAGAGTCAAAACCCTTTTGTGAGTGTGGCTGCAGATCAATCCATAAGGCTCTTTCTTACTTGTCACAGCTGTCTGCTTTATTCTCAGCTGCGCCGATAGCAGTATCCATGAAAGTTGCCACATTGGAGAATCCTGCTGGCAGTTCATCCCATTCATCAAATTTGATCCCACTCCCCAAGGAATAGGTCCCCTCGGCACATTTACTGCACACCTGGTTCTTCATTTCCAGGTACTCTCCAGAAGCGCATGAAAAAGCTGGGAAGACAATCATTTACAATTGATGAACTGGAAAGGCAATTAGTAGCACTGGTGAGCTGTCACTCTGGAAACCTTTCCCAAAAGCCCTAGACACAGAAATCAGAAACATAATGGTGCACAGCCAAAAACCCACTGTAAAACTGAGCTGCAAACACAATTCAGTTTTTCTGCTTGTGTGAAAGTGTGGAAATCAAATCTCAGATTAAAGCTACTGATTGATTTATTTGCCTCCATTAGTAAAAAAAAAAAAAAAAAAAAAAAATTGTCAAAAAATCTACACGGAAAGCTGTGCACACAACCATATATGCAGAAAGATGCTGTACTTCTGCTATCCTGCTCTTCCTTATCATGGCCAGATTTCTCTCACCTGCCTGTTGAGCTAAGAGTGCAATAGGAGCAGGGACAGTCTTTTATTATGTCTGTATAGCACCTCATATGATGAGGCCCTGATTTAGGATCTGGACCACAATGCAATACTTAAATGGCTAAGTGAGTTGGTCAGTGGGGTAGAAGATATTCTGCTGCTGTCTATCCAATGACTATTAAATTCAAAAACCCACTGAGGTCTGGACCACTGCACCCTCCACTCTCAGCCTTGCTTTTTCAAGTCCACATATCATCCCCTCTTGGCAGCCCAGTGAACCAGCTTTTACAGAAAGGTCAAAGTCCACAGGGTGGTTGAAGAACTTTGCAGGAAAGAGGAAGATGTAGATTTAAAACCCACTAAGTGAGTGGGGTCTATAACTTGGATATCATTTGTAGGGCAAGTAACCATTATATTAAAAGGAGCAAGGCCCCTCCTCGGTTGTTTGTGATTTACATGTGTAGACTATAGTAGGCTCTAAGCTGCTTAATGGCAATGGGTAAAGCAATTGCTTGTATTTGCTTGCCTAAAGTTTAGGTAAGAGAAGAGGCAAAGGAAATGAGCACGCCAGAGAATGTCAGAGGTGAGAATATTTTTAGAAAGTGCAAGAAATACAGGTCAAAAGAAATAAGCTAAAGGTTGCTTAGAGCACATTTAGTGGCTTTATTCCAGTTAGATTTGGTTTGGGCCAAGATATAGCTTAATAGGGGATAAAAATAGGCATATGAATATTAATTGGAGCAGAACCTATTAAAAACTTTTTTTTAAATGTTGGCCTTATTTAGTAAGCTTTTTGATACTGGGCCAGGCAATAGAGTATAATCATCTATGTTCACCTTGGCATCTTTGCTGTTCAGCCTTGAACTACTGTCCTTGCTGAACAGCCCAGCTGCAGATGAACCAAGTTCTCTTTTAAAACTTAATTTGAAACCTAGATAAGATGTCCTTTTCCCCAACAGGCTGGCCATCTATTAGGCTTTTTAAATAAGACTCTTATTTCTTTCGATGAATGCACATTTTATAAATTTTAATCATTTGGTTATATGACTTACCTGTACCATTTGGTCATTTATACCACATCAGTATTTCATTATTAAATTTGCTATTAAAAGGTATTTACATTGTTGCTTATGAGAATTTAATGAGTGGGACTGACTCTTCAAACTTTTCTTGGTTCCCAGGATGCCTCTGGAGGTCAACACATGGAATAATGCATCTATAGGAGAAGGATCTATAATCTCCATAAACAACCCAAATGCTACTTAGGCAGCTTAAGTTAGCTACATAAGTGCTACTTACCCATTGAAAGGTAGAGTTGGTTTTGGGCCCATGTCGGTTCATGGGGGCAGATTCCCAGCTGGTGTAACTGTCATAAAACAATGCACATCAGCTGAGGCTCTGGCACACGATGTTTTACAGATGTACCAAAGCTTATCTGGCAGCTGAAAAACGTGTTTGGCTTAAGACTCTTTGATAAGGAGGTCATACGGTAACAGAAAATTCACTTTCTAGCCAATCCCAGCCAAACCTGCAGTTCAAGGTCCCGCTCGGGTATTGACTCACATGGCATCCCTTTGTGATATCATCCTTGGCTGGCAACCCTGGGGGGTAAACAAAAGATTACCTCCAAAAGAAGGTTAAGTAGATGAGTTGAATTGGCCTCTTAGTCAAATCAGTGCAGTTTCCATGAGCCTGTGGTTTTCAGTCAAACAAATAATTTGACTTCTTTTAATGCTGTCACTTTCAGTGCAGGTAGCAATGAGAAATGGGAAGGAACCTATTTAGGCCATAATGCAGGACCGCACCCCTATTCATATATGTGTTGAAGCTTAACTTCAAATATGTGTGCTTAATTTTACATGTGGGTTGAAGCCCCTTTGACTTTCAGCACATACTCAAACTTCTGCTTAAATGCATTCATGAATTGGGGTGTGGGGCTCCTTCATGAATTGGAGGCTTCGATTGTAAATGCTTTGGAACAGGGAGTAGCTTTTCATGCTCGGTGTACAAAGAGCTAAGCAGAATAGTGTGCCAATTCAGCATCAGGAATTAAGCCACTACAACATCATATTCTGTTCTGCCGTCCTGTGTTTTTCTGGAAGTGTGGTGAAAAGCCATGAGGGAATAGCAAGATATCTCATGATGCTGTTTTATCTATTCCAAATGCTTTTTTCAGTTAAAAAGCAAGAGATTGAGAACATTGCTTAACCACATGTTCCAAATTTGTGAACTTCAAGTAGGGGGTTGGTATCCAAGAGAAACTCACTGCCATACTGAAGATACAGCAAGCATCAGAGCCTCCTGTTCAGCTTGTAGTGGAGGTAACCAGGGATGATTGCTTGAACTGAGCTGGTATCTGTTTAACTCCTGATGGTCTGATCACTTCAGATGGGAGGAAAAGGAAATAACAGCAACATTTGAAAAAGAAATAGCTTGAATGAGCAGGCAGGCTAGTGTGAAGGACGTCCAAATTAATCACCTATAGTCCCAAATTAATCACCCATACTCAGTGTTACAGACTGATTTTCTTCTTTTGTTTTTAAATTTGCTTTTCTCCATAGCGCCCTGATATGTACTCCAAAGAAGGCCACAATTCCTGTCAAAACACATATGTCTAAGAGCAAAACTAGCTCTGAGAGTGCCAGCTGCTTGCCAGGTTCAATTTGAGGCTGAATGTGGCTAATGGCAAAGCGAACTACTTTTGACATCAGAACAGATGCAACGCTTGATTTTATTCCAGTCAGTGCAGAGTAGCTAATGGGGGGATGGGATGACAAGCACATAGCTGGATCATGTGGAGGGTTTTTGTGTGAGGATTACCTACCAAAGGGAAACCTTTGTTTAATAAAAAATAGGCTGCGAAAGGGCCAACCTCTTTTATGCCTTAAAAATGCCAGTGTCAAGGGAAATGCTCTGAGAGTGGACGTATTTTGATGACAGGAAGGTGTTGACAGAATCCCAATGGATTCCTTGGAGCTTATATTTTTCTCAAGATATGGCTAATAGGCAAGTAGTCCACAATCAACCATCCTTGATGAGTTGCTACAACCTCGGTAAAAGTCACTAATCATACATGCAATACTTTTCTCTTACTATTCGTCCATGTAAATTGCTGTTATAACCATGGGGTGCTATACATAACCAAGAAAGAGAAGAGTGGGCCATTGTGAACAGCAAGGAGGTCCACAAGCTCCCCTCTCCGTGTTAGGCTCCAGCACTAGGTTAACCTCATCAATGGCTCAGTTTAGGCATCAAAAATCAAAATAAAAAAGCAGCACCTAGCTCCAAGCAAGCAGTCCAAAAAATTGAATTTGGGCACCTACTGTGAATAGACACCTCCAAAGGACAATTTAGAGCACCAAGGTACCTGGTTAGTCAACAGGAAACACTGGGCATGGATCTATGTCAGAGCTCCCATCCCTCCTCAGAGCCGATGTACCCAACTCAAGGTTTCTCATTAGGCAAGTCTCTGTACTTGGGATCCAAGGCATGTAGGGTGAGAACCTGACTCAGTCACTGCAGGGAGGCATCACCTACTTGATGCATGGTGGCCCACAGGTGACAACACTGCACTCAGCTCTCAGGAGAGGGTCATCATTGGGCCACACAAGTATACTTCCTCTTGCTTGATCTTCTCTTGGCCCTATGATTCTTGCATTATTTTCTGTACAGTGGTCCAGCTTCTTCAACTGGAAGTAAAAAATGCTTCTATGGAGATCATTATGCCCTAGCAATTAAGGTACGCAAATCAGAGGAGGGAGATAAGGGGTTGAGCCCCCTCAGGCTGAGGAAGACGCAGAACCTAGGTCTCCCACTTCCTGGTAAGAGTCCTAACCATTAGGTTATCAGCAGGTGGACGATGCCATGCCATCAATGCCTGGTCACTTAGGCACTTAGGGTACAATCTGTTTTCTCCAGGATTCCCAGTTGCTAGATTTGGTTGTCCACCTGGTCATCGACATCCAAAAATGCCACTTAAACTTAGGTTGCTATTCTATTTCTGGACATGTACATAGCCATTCACATACACAGGGTTACATGTGTAGGAAAAGAGTGCCAATCTGTGCATAAATGGCATTTTGAGGTCTTAACTGACTCAAATTGGCTCACCTAGGCCCCTTTGGTTTAAGACAGGGGCAGGCAATTATTTTGGGCGGATGGCCACTTACTGAGTTTTGGCAAGCCATCGAGGGCCGCATGACAGGCAGCCTAGGGCAGATTAACATGAATTTTCTAAATGTTTTAGGGGCCCTGCGGGCTGGATAGAATGGCCTGGTGGGCCACATCCGGCCTGCAAGCTGCATTTTGCCCACCCCTGCTTTAAGAGGATGCCTTTATGTGTTGGATTCCATGTGCATAATGCACAGCCCTGCAACAGATGCCTAAGCTCTAAGTATGGTAGAAATTCAGACATATCCCAGTGTTTACAGTTGGCTAGTGCTAGGTGCTTTCCTGTTCCAAATCAGTCTGAAGGTACCCAGTTTTTCTCATTCTTTTGAAGTGATCCCAAGTGCTCATATTTGGGCCAACTTCCTACATTAAGGCACCTATCTTTTAAGCATAGTGAATCCTAAATTGGAGACATCTTTGAGCCTGATCCATATCCAACCTGGTCTTCTATGAAAATGGAATT